GAAACTTAAAATCTGAATGGTGCGGTGTGCTATTGTATTCAGGTCCCCTGCAGCCAGCATTTAAAGCACATTTTGATGTAATTAGTTTTTTGGTAGTTTCTAATGTATGCAAATCTAGAGAGTAAAACCTTTCCCTATCCTTTGTTGCAAGAAAACCCCGACTCGCACTGATTAGACAGACAATCTGATTTTAAGTTGTATTTTAATCTGCACTGCGTTGTGTCAGTCTAAATCAATTTATTTTAACTCTGGCTGTATGTTTAGTATTGCCTTTTTTGCACATCTTGGTTAAAAGCTGAACAATGCATGGAAATGTACAGTTGTGACCCACTCTTATTAAAACAAAAAGGCCATTACAATATTTTAAAGGAAAAAATAAAAACAGAAAATCTACATTTTGATTATACCTATGCGTTTTGAGCTCGAGAGGTTTGGCTGAACAATCAAGTATAAAGCTCTAGTGTGGTGTTTCATATAGGATATCTAATAATCACTTAAGTAGTTAATTACTGCTTGATGCCAGAAAATGTCAATTAGGAAAGACAGTGTTTGGATTTCCAAGCATTTGTCTGAATGGCACAGCTCAATATCATCAGCATAGAGATGGGACATTTCTGAGCTTGTTGGAAGAATATTTAAGGAACTTTATGTTTAAAAAGTCATGCTAAATCAATTTTTTGAACTTTAAATTATATCTCACCTTTAATCAAAATCATAAACAAGGTGGTATTTCATTTAATTTATGCGTGCCAGTAATCTTCATGAAGAAGCCCCTTCCCATCTTGGAAAAAACAAGTGACCTAGACATCTCAACATAGATCTGTCTTTACCTGCTCTCTCCAGGTAGCACCTTCCTTTACTGCACTGTGCCTGACCAGTAAACTGGCACTTTCTCTGATCCACGAGGGGTGATGTGAGGTGGAGCACAGCAATGTTGAGCAAAGTTGAGAGGAAGTGGCTCTGTTTGTGCTTTATCTACACAGAGACATTAGCTGTTTTCATTTTAGCTAACCCCTAAATTGTGAAAATATGTGGTTTGGCTTCGAAAGGTCTCAGACCTTGTTCAGCCTTTCTAAAGAAAAAAGCAGGGCTTATTGTCTTTAAATGTCATTGTTGCTTAATAGATGTGAAGCAACATGTCTTGTGGTTTGTGTTTTTAAATAGAGCTGGAACAATTAATCTGATTATTCGATTATTGAAATAATTGTTACCTAATTTAGTAATCGAGACTCTAAAACATCTCTTGCTGACAGAGCAACCCACCTTGAGCAGGCAATTATACCAAAATTGTGAAAAAAATATTTACACTTTTGTGTGTGTCAATGTGCTCTATTCAGAACTCAAATGGACCTGATTTAATTTCATAAAGTCTTCTTTAAGGAACGTATTGCTACTCGATTATTAATCCAAAAAAATTATCGACAGATTAATCGATTTGTAAAATAATTGTGAATTGCAGCCCTAGTTTTAAAACATTTTTGAATATGGTTTATGAAAACATTACATTAAAGTCAGTTAGAAAGCAAGTATATACCTTCTAATCCTCTGGGTTTCAAGTTAAGTGCAAATTTGTTCTGGATTGCAAGGTTATTAGTTGCCTCTGAAGATTGAAATCCTGAGAATTAAATGACTTTCACTTAGGAAGTGATGTGTATGCAGTGTTAGGTCATGCTTTATGTGCTGGGTGCGTGTCAGTGATTTGGATTTCCATTTTCTTGTATTGCTTCATGAAGGCTTTGTCTCAAGTCTGTTTTTTTAAGCACTTTTTGTAGATGTTGTTGTTTTCTATATCATGTTTAACAGGAGAAAATGACCATGAAAATGAGTAAAGCTGGTGTTGCCATATAAAATAGGGTATTTCACCAAATCATATTTTATGGTTTATGTTTTACAATTATCTTTAAATCCTGTCCTTTCTTGGAATTACAAAGAGAACCTAAACTTTGAACTTTAATTTCCTTTTCTCACTGTTCCTTTTTTTTTTTATGATGTCTTGACTCAAGGTTTCTTTCACTTCAGCGCGCTTTCTGTGTGTTTCTTCTGTCTGCCCAGAAAGTAATGCTTCCATTGTTCCTGTTTGGTCCTAGCCCTTAAGAGGTTTTGTACTTGGTCTTATGGTGATTATGCATGCTCGCTACTGATTTTCCCATCATTACTTGCACAATGCTGCTGCTGAGCTGCAGCTATTGTTGTGATTTGATATCAACACAGGAACCGGAAATGTGTGTTGGTGTGCAGGCGATAGACTTTGTCTTAGCGATTGTTTTAGGGAGAGCCTGCTCATGTCTCTGTGGTACAGATTTGTTTTCTCATCTTTAATTATCAAAGATTTTTTTATCTTTGAGTTCCTATTTAGAAAAATACGCACACATTTGTTCAAAAAAGTTCTGACATCAAAGATAAAAGTAGAGTTCTTCATTTGTTTAAGTCTTTGTAATTTTTTTTTAATGCAGAGCATCAATGAATATTTAATTTAATGTAAAAATGACCAGACTCAGTTAAAAATCTGGATTTCAATTGGAAATTCCATTTATTTGTGGCTTTTTGTTGCTTTTATTGTGATCAGGCAGTGGATAAACCATCTCATCAGCAGAGAATCAGGTTTTATGGGTGTATAACTTGACAACTCTTGTTCCATTTGTGTTTTCATTGCAGCTAGAGATTGTAATAATTTTAAGGCCATTTGCTATAGAGGGCTGATCTTTGGTTACTTTTATTTGCTGTTAGCCAGATAAGTCCGAGCGCCCTCTTTCGAGGGGGCTGCAGCTCCAATGCAGCAATACAGTAATAGGCCTGTAGCTCACTAACTTTTACACTGACATACAATTAAATGTCCAGATTTTCATCAGAGACTCCTCTACAAGACTATCTACTTCAATTTAATATCCCACACCAATCCAAAAATACAATTCAAGACCAAGTTTGTGTTTCAGTGGGCCTCATTTCAAAAGCACATGTAGCAGCGCGCAATGATACATTGCTAACGAAAGCCAACAAGATACTGAATTGACGGGAGTCAAACTCATTAGCAAAACTCTGATCTGTTGCAGCTGGCCATTAAAAACAGTCCTCCAAAAACCCCAGCAAAGCACATAAAATCTGTCCTGCTCTTGCATGTGATTGGCTAAAGCTTTTGTCCATCTCAAATAGGTGCATATCATTGGATTCTGTAAAATGTGTCCTGTCCAAAGAGCTATGAAGCTCCCTGTTTGGACAAACGGTTATTTAGATACTCCCACCTGTCCTCAGGCTTTATTTTTTCTACTTAGCTTTGGGTATATATAGTGTAAATAAAGAGTCCTGAAAAAAATACAACGTCCTATTTTTGTGAGGAAAGCTGTATTTTTATAACTAATTACGTATCAGCATTCCAAATTTTAGACTTCAAGAATAAATTCCAAATATCAGATATTATCCTGAACCGTTCCAAAATGGCACAGTAAGAGTTCACCTGGATTTTATTTTTAATCTAAACATCTATAACTTCTCAGTTGCTTGTTAGATGGACACCAAACTTGCTACGTATGAACCAAAATGTTGATTGGCAGGTTTTGTATGCAAGCATCTATTGATTTTTTTTTTTTCTACGTGATTTTTTGGCCATTTAAACCTTATTTACCCAGAACCTGAATAATTCACCTTCAAAATCAACTTTATGTCAGTTGATGATAAAATTAGCAGTTTAGGCAGTGTACAATTTGAGAAGTGCGTTATAAAGTAAAATTGACCTGTGTGCTTTTTAAGCGTAGTTAGTTTGGTTTTCACCTGTGTGGACTGTTATTTCTGTAAAGAAAAATATATTGTATTGCAACAAGATGATATATTTAATAGCTAATCCTGAGATTGTTAATATGTTTATATTACAGGTTTGATTTGTTATTGTATTGTTTAGTAAGGAACCACAGGAGTGTAAGCGTAACTACTGGTGGATATTGGTGTGTGTTTTGAAAAATAAACAAGACACTCTAGGTGTTTCTGCCTTACTTCCAGAGAGGAGTCTGATTTAATTTGGAATCTGAATTCCAGTTTGTTTATTTATTTATTTATTGTGTGATTTAAGTCATTAATTAAAAATTTTAATACTCAAAACTTTTTGTAGCTTGAACATTTTATTTCAAGAATTAAGTTGTACAGGCAAAAATTTATTTGGGAAAAAAAAAAAAAAAACTTGCTATAAACCTCTGTCATCATATAAAGCTGGAAAAAGCATCAAACTCCACAGTTTTTTTCCCAGCAGAGTGAAGTGCATGTGTTCAGCAACCCCTATTAGCTCAAAGTAGATCAGGCTACAGCGATAAAGGTGGCGATCAATAGGTGCCAGGTCTACTCTGAGCTTCTAGTATCAGTGATTTAAAGGCAGAGAAAGTCAAGCAATCACATGTGTGTTGCAGCGCTTAGCACTACAGTAAAGATGGGTTCTTTATAGATTGTTATAGTTGACCGCTTTCAGCAGAGAAAAAGGAATAATTACTAGGGAAACGTCTAGAGCTGTCTACTTCCTTCAATGCACAGTGATGTTTTGTGAGTTCTTTAGAGAAATAATTCTTTCAAATGCATACATTTTTGTAATTATAATAAAGCTCACTAAAATATTCATTGTTCTGATTGTCTAGCATATGATTATGAATCTTCAGGTATCCAATGTATAAGCATGTATAAGCTTTAAAAAAAATAAAATCATATAGCCCAGTTGGGGTAAAATAAAGCCAGATTTTTTTTTTCCATTTAGATAAATGAAATGAATTTAAAATAATAAGCGGTTTACTTGGATCTGCTTGACTTTCTAAAAACACGTCTTTGCCTTTTTCCACTGTGTTGAATTGATTGATCCCTTTTCTATACTTCAAGTGTTATCCTATTGTAAGAAGTTTTTGTCTTTATATGCCACTCTACAATAAAGGCTGTTGGCATTGTAATATCAACAATAAAAGGTTCATATAAAAAAGAGTTAGGCATGTTGGTCTTAATAAATATGCATTTGTTTTTCCTGTATTTTCTAGTTGATGGCCTAGAGAAATCATCTGTGGCCAGCTGTGATGTAGTGGTGGACAACCCTTCCAATACCCAGAATGCCCATGGGTCACGGCAGCAACGAGGCAAGCTGTCGACGCTGGGTAGGCTGTTCAAACCCTGGAAGTGGAGGAAGAAGAAAACCAGTGACAAGTTCCAGGATCTCTCCAAAGGTAGAGTTAAAGAAATGTTCAGCTGTAAAGTTTCTCTCTCTTTTTTTTGGACAGTGTGCTATAAATGACTGACTGCTGAGTTGTTCTCTCCAATTAAAAGTCTGGCCAGTGTCACAGCTTGTACCTTTGAATTTGTGGGGAACATTAAGCATGAATTGGACCATTATAACTCTCTGAAGAGCTTTAAAAGGAAACAGTTGAATGGTTTGTTTGTAATTTTTTGGGTTATATGCCTGAGCTGCGGGTCAGGAAATAAAATAGACGGGAAAAAATGGAAACACCAGAGGCTGTTTTTTTCCATATCTGGTTTGTGTAATATTTAGCTTTTTGATTTATGCAGTTTGGATGCTTATTTTAAGGATATTTTACTGGGGACAAGCTTGATTATCCTATCCATTTTTTGTTTAGAATAACTTCATTTTCAAATGCATTGTTTACCTACAATAGGTAGCAGAGAGGCAGATGCTGAGTGCTTTAAAATTGGCACCTCTACATGAATTAAGCTTACATACATGTATTTTACACAACATAGGAAGAGAAACTGAGCAGGTTAGATGGTAGAGAAAAGTCTGTCATGAGTTTACCTCTGCTCTGTGTCAGAAACTGATATACTGGGTCATGCATTGTTGCAGCTCTCAGTATTGCAAATAAATGTTGTTATAAAGCAAAAATAATTTTTGCTTTTTAACAGCTAATTATGTATTCCCACAAAGGTGACAGCATGACCCTAAGAATGAATTACCGTATATACTTTTTTTCCTTTTCAGACAGAGGCTACAGGTTAGAGTTTCATTAACTTATTAAACTTTGCATTGATGATTATGTTGTTTAAATTCTTACGTTCTAGCTGTGTGTCTCTGTTTACCACTTCTCTTTAATATACCAAGTTTTTGAGATGCTGAAGAAAATTTTTAGGGTTTTTTTTCCTCTGGAAAACACAGTCTGTACAAATGCTATTATGCTATTATTATAAATATCTTGTTCCTGATCCTGAATCAAATGATCCTATGAACCAGGAAATTTGGATTACAATGGGATGGTAATCGTGAGATCAAATAATTATTTTGTAACGTATTGCCTTTAGGCAAGAAAGTCTTAAAAGGGATCTAGTCAGTACTATATCTAGCGATGCATGGATCCGGTACTAGGATTGGATATTGACTAATTAGCTTGGTGTATGATATCAGTTAAAAGAAAGTCCCTAGTGTTTATGATTGCAACACTGATTACATCACCGTGCAGAACAGAAACAGCAGCTAGTGAGCATTTATATGGGTGCTCATTTGCTACATTTTTTTAACAAAGTTTATGTTGAGAAAGATGCCTTTGGTCTCATAGCGAGGTATAGGGCTAATTAATTTAACAGTAGACTGGGGTCGGTATCAGCTATCCAGTATTCTCAGCCCATGTATCCAATTGCCTCAAAGTATGATTAGTTAGAAAAAAACATATTTATCATCAAATAACAGTACACATACCATGGGTTTTTGTGGGTAGTGTTTGCTTAGTCCTTTTTGAGTCTGAAAATACATTTTGCACCAGAATGAATCAGAAGACATCGATGTCTGTCTGTAAAATAGAGAGCTGTTTTGGATTTTAAACATTAATTAATCACCTTATAAACTTTTTTGTCATCACAACCAACCATGGGAAGTACTTGGCAGTGAAATCTGAATGATTCTTTAGCTTTAGCTTTTAATTCATTGAACACCAATGTTCATTTTGCATTCTGAGGGCTACTCTTGTATTATTCCTCTTTGTTTGTTCACAAAAAAAATCTTTGTATCTTCTTGTTTCGTTTTGCACCTCTGCTGGTTGAATATAACATGTTTTGTTTCATTAGACATAATAATATGGTTCTCTAATGATTGTTTCTTTCCTTGTGTACTCATTGCACACATTTGCGATATCGTTCCTTCGTTCATATGGTGTTGTTATGGTAAACTCTCTGTTTAGAAACACAACCAAAGTGTGAAATACAGAAATATAATAGGCTAACAGGGTGCCATAATTGCATCAATAAGTACACAGAAACAGATGAGAAATTCACTAAGTGGTAGTACATGAGCAGGCCCCTTTTAAAATTAAAGCGTATTACATGTCTTTACTTTTTCGTATTTCAGTTCTAGAGAGGAAAATCTCCACCAGACAAACTAGAGAAGAGCTCATCAAGAAAGGGGTCCTCATCCCTGAGCAAGGTTTGTCTCCATTTACTCATGTGTTTATTGGCTGTACTGGCCTGCACAGTTGGATTAGACGAGATGAAAATCCCAAAAAGACATTTTTGTTTGCCGTTTGCAAATTCTCTCAGTGGATCCATGTGTTTTTGGTTTGTTGTATATTTTTTAAAGGTTTTTTGTTCATGTGTTGTCTGGCTTAACCTTGCAGGTCCAAATCATCAAAATCATGCATGTTGGGTTGATCTTCCACACTAAATTGCATCTTTAGATGTGACAGTGTGTGTGCATGGTTGTCTGTCATGTGGGACTTTGTTGCCCTGGTAACTGGTAACCTTTTCTAGGGCTTGCACTAACGTTTTTGATACTGTAAGTTTCCTGCAGGTATAGAAAACGGACTAATGATTGTGCTCATGCTAATTCAATAGTAATATAACCAGAGTCAAAGCATTTTTGACTGGACATTATTTTTTTTTTTGTGAATTATATGCAGAGATGGCAAAAGTACTCACTTTCCGTACTTGAGTAAAAGTACAGATACTTGTGTTAAAAAATACTCTGGTAAAAGTGGAAGTACTGATTAAACTTCTTTACTCAAGTAAAAGTAACAAAGTACAGGCTTGTAAATTTACTTAAAGTATAAAAGTAAAAGTGGAAACCACTTTTTTCATGCCGTTGCCTACATTTTAAATGGATGTCAGCCAATAGGACTAAATCTCCGTTGTGTTCATTTTCAATCATCTCGTCGTCCATGCTACTATGCTAACGCCACCGCCACCAAGCTGCAATGATTTGCCGTGAATGAATACCGCAGAATCTGTCGATTCATCTTGTAGTGGTGCGTCAAATGCAACGTAGATTCCCATCCAATTAGATTGAATTTGGTATTTGTGAGATAACGGCTCGCCAGCTCCCGTCTCACGTCAGAGGAGGTGTAAGCAGATGACTTGCAAAAAGGTGGTAAGAACCAGCTGACAACAAAATGCGAGTTCAAAAGCGTGTAGCGGTTTATTTACTGGTGCAACGGTGAAGACAAAACCGGCCATTGCAGGCAATACAAAACACTGACAGCCTCACAGCAAGCTGACTTTAAATATAGTCTCTCTAAGCAGACCTTCAAAAGCAGTTTCTCCAACCAGTCTCTTCAAGCAGCCCTGCTAAGCCATTGTGAGTGTGCCCCTTAAATAGACCCACCAATAATCAGCCAATTGGGACAGCCCAATTAAACAGGAAGGCAAATCCCCAATAAAGCACAGTTAACATTGTAGAAAAATAAAAACAGACAATAGCATCATTCATACAAAAACATACATATTTATGAAATAATTTAACCATACTAACATTACCATTTCACCTACTTATTACCATGCAAACAATTATTACATACATTGAAATCCCACTTAATACCCCTGCCCCGTCTTTTCCAATGCCCTGGGACAATAGATAAGAGACTGGCTCCGATGCGGTACGTGTTTCCACACGGACCAGTATGCTGACGGACTAAGGGAAGATTTGACTGGGAAGTTTTATTGCCGACTACAGAATGTATATTAAAGCTGTCGCAGTGGGTACCTTCAGAGTTTGCTACGCTGGTGAGTAAGTAAAGTGTTGAATAAAAGGTGACGTTGTAATTTCGGAACTAGTGAGAATTACCGCCATGACGGCCGGTCTGTGGTGCATGCTGGGAAATGTAGTGAAGGATGTGACGCTGTGTGTGATAGACGGCGGTTATACTTTGGGAACAGAGGGGGAAAACGGCTCCGTTTTCACAGTATTGATGACGTGAAAAATAATAACGGTAACTCCATTGAAATGATTCAAAACTAAAGTAACGAGTCAATTTTTTAAAATGTAAGGAGTAGAAAGTACAGATATTTGTGTAAAAATGTAAGGAGTAGAAGTAAAAAGTCGCCATAAAAATAAGTAGTAAAGTAAAGTAAAAATATCAGAAAAATCTACTTGAGTACAGTAACGAAGTATTTGTACTTCGTTACTTCCCATCTCTGATTATATGTGAAGATAAAGAGTATTACTTGACAGAATGCTTGTTGTGTAATTTCATTGATTAACTACATGCTCTTTTCCCTTAAGCCATTTAACACTGTTATAAAATTAGGTTTTTGTTACACTCAAGTAGTGGATCAATGTGCTGTTAGCCTAATAAAGGCAAAGCTGATCAGCTCACCGATATTCTCATAAGGCATCACTAATGCAAACCTGCAAATTATATGCTGCATGTAAAATTTTTAACTTGCATGTTTTTTCCTGAGTTATCTTGTGTTTTATGTCACATATCAATAACACCTTGTACATGTGAAATCTAAACATTTTGGCTTGAGTAAATTTTTTTTCATTCTTTTCCCTGCTGTTTTCATTAAAATGAATTCAAAGTGTGACAGAGGCCTACTCTCTCCTTCTCCCTCAGACGAACCAATCAGTAGCGAAAATCTGAACGGCCATGCATCATCCAGTTTGACTCCAGAGGAAGTCAAAGTGGACATCGAGTCTCCTGAGGGTCGTGTTGAGGAACAAGCTGTTGGACCAGTCAGCACAGAGGAAAAACCATCAGGTGGTTTGGTTTTCTTCTTTTTATCAGTTTCTGTTTAAACTTCCCTGCTCTAACCTGTAGTGGCCGGGGGAACTACTGCCTCCACTTCTCTTATTGACAGTTCGGACTTGACAGAACTCCTGCTTTTTATATTATTTATATTATATTTATTACCACATTTCCCTGTTTAATATGTATAGATGCACTTTTCAAAAATATTGGTAACGCTTTCTTTTACAGTACATCAATAACCATGTAATGACATGGTAATACCATAGATAACACTATATTACTAGGTAACAAGAAAACCTTTATGGTGAATTTTGGTAAGTGCTGTGCTTCAAATTTTAGGCAGACAAAGTAAAATCAGACTTAGATTTTCAAACCGTCATTACCGTCATTTCACTGACAGCAATAGATGTGTTATTATCTAGTAAAATGCAGTTTATTACTTGGCATATAACAGAAAAACAAAAGCTTGAAGACAGCAAGCAAATCTTCTTGACTAAACTCTTATTTATATGTAAATTAGGTTCAGTTTTCTAATGCTTTATTTACCTGATCATAAGTTACAACTTACTTTGTAAGCCATTGTTCGGTGGTGGCCAGCAATAGCAACTGTTTTGTGGTTAATGGTAGTTAATGGTAGTTTCCCACCAAAAGTCTCCATTCTTTCATAACATACAATGGAAATAATTAAAGCAGGTAATTAATTTGAAATTATATACCATAATTCTGGGGTAATTTTCAAATAAAGCTTTTCTTGTTACAAAGTAAATTAGTGTCTTGCTATATTATTACCTTGTTATGACATGGTTTTTGATGTACTGAAAAATAAAAGCTTTACTAATATATTGTCATCAATACCTAATCATCAATTTAACAGCTCTGATCTGCCTTTTAGCCTGTCAAATTTTTATTGGAATACATTTAAATCTTTCATTAATCTTTTCTACTTCATTTCATAAAAAAAAAAAAAAAAAAAAAAAAAACCTTTGTTGTTGACATTAGCTGGCAGTAGTGATGATGAATACCGTAAATCCTCTAATATAGGACGGGGCCTTTATTTCACTCAGGTACATCTTGGTCCAGGCCATTATTGGAAGGAGGCCAGAATTAGAGGCAGGCCTCTATTTCTATTTGATCAAAACAGACTACCAGTGGAATGAATAAAAATGAGATATTGTGTCTCCTTGAACCTATAAAATACTAGGTTCATTTATTGAAAAAGTACAGTTACCATAATGGTATACAGAACATTATCAGACATCTTCCAGCAGCTGCAATTTTTCTGCACGGCAATATGAAAAGAAAAAAAAAGACACAGAAAGGAACCTTGGCCGAACTGACTTGCGAAACAAAGTAAAAAAAAAAAAAATTATTTACCTCCGCCGACAGCGACACAGGCCATTATTAGAGACCTGGCCGCTAATGAATGCAGGCCAATATTAGAGGATTTAGGGTAGTTTTGGCAGCAGAGTTGGACAAAAGAAAAGTCGGTCACCAATCATATGTGGCCAGGGGTCATTTTTACCAATTCCAGTCTGCAGAAAGTTTCTCTGTGTGTAATAGGTACTGGCCGGAAAATGCTAAGATCAGCTGTGTAGAAAATAATTGGGTCATTGTTGCTTTAGCTCTATGTATTTTTCTTTAGCTATTTAATCTCTGTTTTTCAGGGTTTTTATTTCAGCCTTTTTGTAGGCTTTGAAATTATCATTGCATTCGGCTCTGTCCTTGTTTTGTAGCTGACAGTGACCTCTCTGAGGGATCAATGAGCAAGTCTAATGTGTTCAAACAGATAATGCCATTACATCAGGCTGCAAGCTCAGTCCAAGCAGTGCAGTATCTCCTCCTCCTAATGCTTCCCATCCCTGTAGCCTTTGCTCTTTGGACTGATGCTGCTTAAGTGTTGTGCTGTTTTTGTCTCAATTCTGTTAGTATTGAACTCGTAGCAATTTGCCAATAGTCAGAATGCCAAAAGGGAGCAAATTTGGCAAATAAAGCAACAGATACCATAATACTAGACGCTGGGAAAGTAATGCACATAGGTCATCTATCAAAGTCTATTTAAAGGCTGCAGCTCTTTAACAACACAACCGCTGTCTAACTCTGTTTTCCACAGTCTGTTCTTGCCTGCATGCAAGTCCATCTCTTCATAACTGTGTGCTCCTCTTTCCTTGCTTCTCTCTGTTTATAATTGTATAAAATCTGCACACTTTCCCTCCTTTTCACCTCCCTTTTTCTAAACTGTTCAGAGAGGTCCATTACTAAACCACCTGCCCGGACAAAGCAGGTGGGACCTCGAGATGCTCCAGTTAAAAAACAGCAAAGTATTGCTGTGGCCACTGCTGCCAAAGCTGCTGGTGGCACCACCACTACCACTACTGCAACAAGACACAAAGAAGGTACTCCAGGAGCTAAAAAGACAACTAAAACCACAGGCAAGGCCGGCACATCGCTGCAGGCTAAAGCTAACCCACGACACACTAACACCACAAGTCGAGGGGTCGGTAAGTTCAGCCGACTGAGACTGCAGCCCGTAGTCCCTTGAGCGCCTGTCTGCCTCCCTGCATGGACAATATGTCTGTATCTTTAAAGAACAAACAATAAAAAAGAAAAAACTGGGCCTTTGATAGATCAATCCACACCTTCTCACCCCAAATCCTTGTATGCTTAGTGTCTTAAAAAAGTCATCCCTTAAGGGCTTCCCTGTTTTGGCCTATTACAACCATTATATTTATTTTTTTTAACAGGACATGCAGAGATTCAAGAAAAGTGGAAGGCCAAATGAGAACAAAGTTGAACTTAATTGCGCACTTGCCACAAGGCAAAACTGAAACTACACATGGTTTTACACCCATCCCCGCAGTGTAGTATAGTATTGTATAACGCTGTGGGGCTACTTTTCTGCAGCAACCCCATGGACTCTGGTAGGAATTATTGGAAAGATTGGTGGATAGATTGATGACTGGAGGTAAACCCAAAGCAATGCTAAAAATCAAAACAACAACAAAAAAAGCCCAGGTGGAGCTTCACCTTCCAACAGGACAGCAACCTTTAACATGTAGCCAGATGTACAATAGAAGGGTCACAATTAAAGTATAGCCTTGATACGATGGTATAAATGGTAAATGGCCTGCACTTATATTGCACCTTTTAAAGTTAGGGGACTTCAAAGCGCTTTCATTCAGTCATTCTCCCTCTTTTGCAAAAAAGCACACACTGATGCTGGTGAGCTACATATTATAGCCTCAGCTGCCCTGGGGCGCACTGGCAGAAGCGAGGCTGTTGTATACATGCCATGCCGGACCCTCTGTCCACCACCAGGCTATATAGTGGAAGTGTATTGCCCAAGGACACAATGAGCAAGATGGACAGAGCTAGGGTGTAAACCAGTTGAGATTCTATGGTTAGACTTTGAATTTATCCTAAGGTTAATTTTAAAAATAAGACTGGGCAAGCATTTTGGTCTCTGGACCAAAATAACTTTTGGTTGTAACTGGGACAGAATGTGGTCCTTTTAAGTGTTGATTTAAGGGTCTAAGCAAAAAATAGCATGTCACAGTTGTAAGATTTTTATTTCTAAAACAAACATTTGATAGTTTCATTATCTGGCAATTTCACAATTATGTGCAGGTTAGTTCTGGTTTGTCACATGAAATCCCAATAAAACACACTGAAGTTTGTGGTTGTAACATGACAAAATGTGATATTCTCAAGGGTATGAATACTCTGAGGAATACTGTAGTCAGGTCAAATTACTGGCCTGGGCTGCTTCCTCCTTCTAACAGAGGGGATTACCAGCCTTCCAACTGAAGAAGAGTATCCTTTATGTTATCTCTGTCTTCAAAAGAAGAAGTGAAGGTTTCTGTGAAGCTCTGGAAACACTACTTATAGTACACCAAATTTATACATGTAGGAGTTTTATGAAGGGGTTTAAAGATTTTATGTATAGTCGTGTCTGTCGCACCTCCGCTGTATCGTGGAGTCCACAGATGAGGATACAATATTCCTCTATTTTGTCTGACATTCAAACATTTTTAGTTTATTCTTTTCTGCCTTCTTTTACTTGAACACAAAGAGACCACAAAAGCCTTTAAAAAGCAGTTATTATTCCATATCACCTTAGGTATAATGGTAGGTTTTTTTGCTTTTTTTTTTTAAAGAGGACTTAAATATTTACCTCCTGAAACATCTTAGCTGGCAGCAGGCTCTAAAAAGCCCTCACTGTCTCTGGTTAAACATGTTCTAAAAGAATGCACAGTGTACTTATCCTGATCCACTTTTAATTGTGTGCATATTTGGTATTTAGATAATTACTAAATACCTTCTTTGGAGGCAAAATACAAAGTTATAAGCCAAAGCACTTTTTTTCTGCCTGTAGATGCTACCTTCAAACAGCTGGAAGATCACATGGCTAGTCTGCTAAGATTGTACCAACTTGATCAGTCATTTAACCAGCTGAAAACATGCACTTGCTAAGATGAATATTGTTGCTTGATGAAAAGTAGGTTTGATGTAGCTCATAAATTAGTCTTTTAAAGAGATTTTTTGTCTCTGGTTCAGCGTTTCCTTTCCCCTTTTCTTGCCCAATGATATCTCCTTTTGATTCAGTTTCTTCCTACAGTTTATAAAATAAATTTTGAGCTTTTGTTGTGTAGGGATACTTGTGTCTAAACAGGCCCTGAGAAAGACCAACATTCTTGACTAGAAGTTTGCTGCTATAGAACGTGAAAAGATGTTTTTGCCTTGTGAAGAATTGCACATTTACTGCAGCCCTTTTCATTACATCATGGCAATATAATCATATTCTTTGCTGCAAATAGCCAAAATTCAACAACCCTTTATTTTGAAATCAGACTGCAGAGGGAACATACCCAGATGGGAGACACTGGCAATGCGATACATCTAAATCATATAGCGTAGCCCAGACCCTTTCCCTAACTATAACTAACACATACCTAACCCTAATTTAACCTTACTCTAACACGAACTCAAAGAAGAAAACGTTACCATTTGGGGACCTGTTGAATGTCCCCATTTGGACCACTTCAGAGCTGTAGGTCGCCACAGTGGAGGATATTTGACAATACATTGCGCCAGAGTTGTAGCTCAAACTGATGATGGCATCATCTGATGGCATCTTCATTGAATAAAGTTTAAAAATGTCATAGTTGTGCTGCTGGTATGATCATCACTTTTCCTTTTCTTACTTTTTTATTTATTTCTTAAGTTCGATGCATGTTCAGAATGAAATAAACCAGCAGCCTTATCTGCCATACATTTACTTTGCTCCAGTTACTTGGTTTGTTTTTCCACTCCACTTCTGAAACTCTATCACTCAAACAACATGCACGCTGTGATTATATCTCTTTTAATTTTTCAAGTTGTAATGCATCCTTTTACATTATTGCCATCTTTCATTGTCAACTTTTTTTGTGTGTGTGATTTTCATTCAACCAAAGCAGGACATGTAACCTGTTTAGGCTGGAACCTAACTTCTATACCAATTAACACTGGTATTCAGAACCAGCCTTTCTCCAGGAGCAAATCCTGGTGGTTCATTTTAGCATTTCTTTACTTACTTTCTTTACTTTCTCCTCAGCTAAATCATCCGCTCCAAAGAAGACAGGAGCTGCAAGTAAAACCACCTCCACTACCACCTCAACTCCTCGTTCTCGGGCATCCAAGGATGCAGCGGCCCGTTCTGAAGGGACGGCTCCAAAGACCAACAGGAAATCAGACACTCCAGCTTCTTCATCTGAACCTCAGAAAACCTCCACAGAGACTCCTAGTCAGCCTGAGGAGTTAAAATCATCTCCAGCCTCCTCAGACAAAAAGCATCCTTCATCCAAAACCTCTGGAAGCAAGGCAGAGGGAAATCAGAATGCTTCTAAACCTGATGGAGAGCCTAAATTGGCTCCAGATGACATTGCTTCAAAAGAAGAGACTAACAAGGTTGAAGCTGCTGAGAACACAGAGGAGTCTTCTCATATCAACCAGTCTACGGAGGACACGTCGTTCACAGGAGAGAAAGACAACAGTTCACAGAGGGAGACACCTGAAGGGACAGAAAGGGGGGAAGGGGAGGACGTGAAAAAGCCAAGAGAAGCAGATTGTGGTAAAGAGAACGGCTCAAGGTAAAACCATGTATAGAATTATTTATAACCCTTTCTTAGTGCCTGATCTTGTTTGTGTGACTTTTCACTGCTATAGTTTGCATGAATATATTTCCCAGCATATTATCACCACCGTTTCTGATGCTGTTATAGTAAGATTTCAGTCCTGTTGTCACCCATAGCTGTTTGTATGTTTAGAAAAACAAAAATGAGCCTAACGCTCAAAGAGATCCCTCAGCTTGATAGAAACCTTTACTCCTATTTTAATCAAAACTGTAGTGCAGAAATCTAAATGTATGCATTTTCATTAACTGTATTGTGGTTCCTCCAAATGAAATCCAAAAGCCTTAAAAACTAACATAATGAGTAAAGGCTACCTCTGTGAAACTTGACTTCAACTGGTCTGTGCAGACCTCCAGGGTTTATTTTAAAACATTAGAGAACAAACGGCATCGAGAAGACTAAAGAAAACAGCAGACAAGTCAGGAACGTTGTGCAGATGCCTAAAGCAGTGTTATGTTATAAGACATAGCTTAAATGTTGAGCATCTCCTGGTGCTGTGACCTTTTATCATGTGAAAACAGTGAAGGGCTTTGAAAATAACAAAACATGCTTTTTCAGTCAACTGAACTTTAGCTCAGGCAATAAGATCATGAATTAAAGGAGCAACCAGGAGGATTTGTCAAAACTACTGTTAAATTAAAGCCTATTTTGATATCCAATTTATAGTTTCCTCCAGCCATACAGACGACATGTCTAATGTTAGAGGTGCTCTGGTGAGGGAAAACTTCTTGGCCTACAGGCAGAATGCTGCGTGTGGAAAAAGTAACACTGCATATGAATCGTGGTGCTGAGAGGATTGGGCTGTGAGGATGCTTTTGTTTGTTTTTTTTCTTTTTAGCAGGAAGAGTGTTAATCAGTCAGAGTGGAAATATTAGAGCTAAATACAGAATATTCCTGGAAGAAATATCTGCATTTAAGATAAAATATCAATATTTAAGACCAAAGCAGAAGTTTATCATGTACTAGACAAACAGCCCTGAACAGGGTTACATTTTTTTTGCTTGGATGGCCTAGTTAAAATCCTAAATTCAATTGAGAGTCTTCTACTATGGCTGATAGGTTGTACTTACAACAGTCTTTATTCACTCTGAATTGAAAACTAATGTGAACATTTCACTCTGTAGATTTCTGTAGTTGTTGCAGAGATAAGTCGATTAACTTGCAGTTTTATGTGCAGCTACAGATAGTTCTGGAAGGTATTGATACAGCAGAGATGAACCTATGATTATGTCTGTGCATAAGCTAAGAATATAGGAGGTGTCAAAATATCTGCTCACTCTCTCCCGTTTATGGGCTGTCCAGGTCAACGGAGGACGAATCGGAAAAGCAGCCGGGCCCGAGTGTGAAGATGGATCAGGTCCAGGTCACGGTTATCCCCGATAGGCCAAGAGACAGCCAGACTAGTGATTCTGATTCAGATGGACCAATCCTGTACAGGGGTGACGATGACGATGAAGACGACGAAGATGAATACACAAACAGTATGACGTCAATTTAATGATATGTATTTGAAAATGCCTGAAAAATTCACCAAGTTGGTGGCATAAAAATCAGAAAGGGTTAAAAAATGTGATGTCAAAGTTGTGCTAGACATTATGAATCACTTGCAACCCCAACTTGGATTAAGGGGGATAGATGGATGGATGGATGGATGGATGGATGGATGGATGGATGGAACCTACCTACCTACCTACCTACCTACCTACCTACCTACCTACCTACCTAGGATGGATGGATGGATGGATGGATGGATGGATTGATGGATTCTGTTGGGAACGCATGATTATTATTTACATTTGTTCAGTTACTTATGATCTGATTAACCAGTAATTTAGCTTGTTTTTATATAGTTATGTTCTACCAAAACTGACAACTTCAGATATTTTGATTTAAGTTTTTCTCAGTTGCCATGATATTATGGGTATTTTTAACATTATCAAGTAATATAACTATAAATGCATGAGTATTAAACTCCTCGAAGACACTGTTGTTGTTTTTTTCTCTTTCTAACATTTAGCTATTTTTTTCTATCTAAATTCTTAATATTAAGTTTTATTTCAGTTTCTTGAGGCCTTAAGAATTCATTTAGTCTACCTCCATCCCTCTGTCAGACTCTTTGGCCAGCAAGATCCGCCGCCGAGACACCCTGAACATTAAGCTGGGCAATCGACCCAGTAAAGAGGAGTTGGAGGAGAAAAACATTCTGCCAAGGAGCTCGGAGACAGAGAGACACGAGCTCCGTCAGCAGATAGGCTCCAAATTAGTCAGGTACGGACACTGACACAAAAAAAGGATGCTGTGAAAATGTGGGTAGGTGCTACCTGTCATAGATTTGGCTCAGCTGTGGGACAATAACAGATTGGTAATTATTTAATGGTGCAGCCGTGGGTGGTGTAATAGTACAAATGATCCACAGCAGAGTTCTGAAGAGGATTAAAAACTGCAGTGGAATTCTTTTAATTAATAACAAATGGGGTTAAATACATATTAAATGTGTTAGAAATATATTTGATTTTCTTCTTCTTTCTGCGGTCAAAGAAATGTTTCAGTTATATTTCTATTAGCCCGTTGTAAAATGGTACATTGGCATAATCTTCTTGTTTTAGACGCCTGAGCCAAAGACCTACCACAGAGGAGCTGGAGCAGAGAAACATCCTCAAACGTATGTTTATAAAACGCTTTCCTAATCTTCATCATGTTAAGGATAGAGTTTATGGTTATTGGTGATAGACTTGGGCTTATAAATCAAAGCATTTCAGGCTAGAGATCAACAGACAAGTCATCTTTATTGAAAGGATTTTGGTCCATTTCTTGTTTTTTCCCTCCGAGTTTCAGCTCAACATATAAATATGAACACATAAGAATTTTCAGGCCTACTTTAACCTGTTTACCTACTGCAGAGCAAATAAATTCATCCTAAGCACAAATAATGAGCTGAAAATGGGATTTGACCGATGCATCAAGTCTTGTAATTTCATTATGTAATCTTGTTGTGTTATAAACAAATTGAATCTTTTCGGGGGGAGGGGGTGGGATGCATCTTGAAAATGCTAATGCATTTCCTCTGCTTGCTTTGCCAAAGCAAAGCATGGTTGGTGATCATTCTCTGGTAGTGATGGATGGTTGGATTTGTGGGCAGACGGAGCAAAGGTGTTAACTTAGGTCCTCACATATAACCTAGAGTGACTCCTTAATCGGAATAAAACCAAATTTAAGTTTTAATTTCTTCAGAAGTTTATCAAGGTGAGGCTTTAAGTACTTAATCAATATGTGTATTTGGAGATAGGAAATCCCATGTTGAATAAAAGAAGCAGCTTTCTGCAAACATGATGGCAGTGAAATTAGTCTGTTTACTCTCTGCATGCAGAAAAAAATGAAGATGAGGAGAAAGAGGCCAAGCAAGAGATTAAAAGGAGACTCACCAGAAAGGTACTGTAAACACTGAGTGCACACACAGCAGTCTGTGTAGAACTGGGACATTCAGTGTTTCAGTTTTATTCCCCCTTCATTAAAAGTGCTTCTACTAAACTGTATTTTGTTCTGTTTCCGTGTGTAGCTGAGTGTGAGGCCTACAGTGGCAGAGCTGATTGCTCGCAGGATTCTGCGGTTTAACGAGTATGTGGAGGTGACGGACGCTAAGGATTACGATCGTAAGGCAGACAAACCATGGACACGTCTCACTCCTGCTGACAAGGTGCTGATGATCTTTTTTTTGTTTGCCTTTATTGACACTTCGGTTTACTTCATATTAAAAGATATTTTATTATACAAGAGGGTCCCTTTTATTGATTAAGAGGATAAGATTTTAGGTTTATGTAGATTAGTGAGATTAGAGGACCAGTAAATGTTGGCTTTGTGACAAACCTACACGACCTGTAGTTTTTCTCTTGAACCGAGAATAGCATGAAATTATTTATCCATAAGTTTTCTTTGTTTATTCGGCTTAAATGCTTTGTCCAAACTAGACCACTCTTGCAGCATGATGTGTTTGTTGGATGTTTTAATCACAGTTCTGTTTTTGTGCCAATTCTGCCCTCCACTGCTGATGTTAGGAACTGCACACAAGATGCAAAGTTAGAACTGGGTCACATCGAACACTAATCACAGCGTGCACCTGATTATAAGAGATTAGAATCAAATGCAGAAGCAATTCCAGGATTGAAAAATGTCAAATGGGTTGTTGTGTCAGGTTCTGGTGCAGCCCCTGTGGTCCTAATCCCATCGGACCAATCTGTTTGGAGAATCAAAGCCTGGTAGATTCTATTTGTGTTTCACATTAAACCTTATGATAAAGAGAAAACGCTTTGCTGCGCTTTTACTGTATGGCAGTTTGTTTTTTCCTTAGCATAGGTACATAGGCAGTCACTACAAGGAGCTGACAGGCTGCTTATAGTCATAGTAAAAGGTATGTAGAAGTATTTTAGGAAAAAATAACTTTGTTTTTAGAGATTTTTTTGACCAAGAAAGGGAAAGTGTAAGAAAGTACTCCACGTTTTTTTTTTTAAACTTCTGAGGGCATTTTTTTCCTATTTAAGCTAGGTTTTTTTCTAGAGAAATTCAGGAGACCACCTCTGAAACAAATTCAGAAAACACTGGACGCTTGTCTGATTTTCTGTGATGGAGAATAAGCCTTCTTCCTTTTAATGAAGCAAAAGCAATAGTAATAGCCCAGGCTTTAATGATAGCAATAATCTTATCTTTAAAACATCAAAAATACAAATAGTTGACTTAGAAATACCTTTGATATGGCAGATCTGTGAAAAAACATCAGAGATACAACCCCCACATGGATAAAAAATGGACATTCCCAGAAGCTGTGGCAGGGTTGGGGTGACATGTTACACAGGTTGGATAATTTTGCTTAGTGTAATGCAAGAAAATTCACATCTTAAATTAACTAAGGCAATGTCTAAAACATGGGGATGAATCATGGACTGGTTTTGAAGATTTTGACCACACCTCCTCTGTGAGGGGAGTTTGCAGGTCCTCCTCCCAGACTGACTTGGTTTTATCAAGGGATGGCAGGAAACCGGATTAAAAAAAGTGGTTTTAAGTACTTTCTCACTTTGTTGGAGGGTCTTATATGATGCTAAGGTGCCACTAATGAATAGACTATCATGTCTGAATGGCTTCATCAACCTTAGAGGGTTGAAACAAATGATTGTGTGTTAGTTGGAGGAGGGATTTGGTTTCTAAATGTTGAACTAAATGTTTTCTAATCTGATGGCTAATTCGGAGCGAGTTCTTAACCACAGGATTATTATACTTGACAGCTATGCCTTTAAGGGAGCCGCAGGATCGGGAAGCCTGGTCCACCTCTTAACCTGTGCATTAAAACAATGGATGTTTTAGTTTGGGGATCAACTAAAAAAAAAAAAAAAAAAAAAAAAAAAAAAAACAGAAATATGGCTGTTCAGATCTCTGAAGTAAACATGGAGTGCTGTTGTTTTATTATGTTTGCCATGCCTGGAAGAAAGATAGGAAGGGATGACAATTTCACAAAATCCAACTTTAAAAAGTTATAGGGAAATCAGACATTATACGTTTATTTTTATTATTATTATTATTATTATTATTATTATTATTATTATTATTATTATGTGTCACAATGACGTCTAAATAATTCAGTGAATTACTTTCTAATTTAATATGAATGTTGTTTTGGTTAGGATCTTAGGCTAACTGATTGATGTCAAATAGGACAATTTTGATCAAGTTGAGTTTATATCCAGAAAGTCATCCAAAGCTTTGAAATGGAAGAAATAGCCGTGATATGGAATTAGTTGGGTCAGCTATATAAAGAAGCAGGTCATCGGCACCATGAGGTGTTGTTTTTTTATTGGGCAAGAACTTTATTCACCTTGACCCCATGTTTAAAGGATATTTGTTGAGATTTGAGTAGAAGCCATTCTGCTTAATTGATCATTTTTCTAACTGTGTTTTGCAGAAGTTAAATCAGCATCCGCTCTTTGAGTGGATAAATCAGAAAGACGGGTTGTACATTTGTTTTGCCCATATCTGTTCTTGAATGAAAGCTTTCAGAGATCCCCATAATGTGGCTTTATTGGAGTTACTGCTTTTAAGTATAATTTTGTTTTAGGCTTTATCAGCTGACTTTTGTAAGCTTTTATTTTTGAGAAGCTTTTGAGCAAAATAATGAGGAGTAGGGCAGTGATTGACAGTAATGTACTCGGGTTCTCACTGCATTCATTTATGTTTTATTCTAGATTAAATAAAAAATCAAGCTGTTCCTCAGGAAAATATATTATTGTAATGAAATTTGCAGGTACCAGATAACTTTGATTAGATGTTCCCTGTTTGTGTCTTATCTGATCACTTTAACCATCAAATATTTTAAATAAAGATCTGATAAGGACCAATAAAGAAGAGTTATAGGAATTATAGGAATGAGATAAAAGGTTTCACAAAAATTCTTACCTGGGATCTTCGGTCATTAAGCTGTCCTGTCATGTTTCTGTTTTACGTAACTGTGTTGCATAAGTTAAGACTCCTTGTACAAATATGTAAAGAGCCATGAAATAAATGTACGTCCTTATAGTGCTATAATCTAACTATAACTGAGCTTTAAATATCATTTTAAATAGCATTTATTTTGTAATTTCTGCAAGAAAAAGAAATCCACCTCCAGAAATGTAAAGGTGACATACAGTAAAAACCTTTTTTAATAATAGTTGTTTGTCAATACTTGCTAAAACCTCTTTTTGCCAGTAGAACAGCACTCTTGCAGCATACAGAGGGATGCTATCCTGAACCACCAGATCTGCGATACTTTCAAATTGTTACTTCTTTCCAGGTTATCCACAAGTTTTTTCATACTATTAATGTCTCTGGACTGAGATATAAATGGATGTTTTTATTTTGAAATTGCTATATTTTGGGGGGTTTTAGCAAACTGAATCACCCAAACGATGCACAACTTTTCATTTTACTATATAGACTGTGGGTTTTTTTTTTTTATCTGTAATTGTTTTTAATTCAATTTAATTCAGTTTATTTATTTTACTACCACGAAGTATTAGGGCCAGGCTAGAGATTTAATTTTTTAATCTGAGAATTGAGTCATAAAATTATGAGAATAAAGTCGTAATATTAACAAGAATAAAGTTGTATTTTATGACAACTCTCACAAGAAGCAATTTCTTCCCTAAAATGACGAATGTCAAGAATAATGTGAAGTTATACTTTGGCAAATAAGGAAATCTTTTAGCACACCAGCATCAAATTGGGCAGTACTGTATGTCAAAGTGGACTCAGGTTGCTGTTTGGTGGTGCTGGTCGGCCGCCATATGCTGGTCAAAGCTCGAAGCTTTCCCTCTGAAATGGATTGTGGTATGATAACTTCCTTCTTTTTAGTTTTCAACGTTATTCTCGTAATATTACAACTTTATTCTCGAAATTAAAATAAATATTCCTATAACCTGGCCCTAATACTCCATCTTATATTAAGCCAATTCACTAATTTATCAATTTAAAGTAGTAGATCATGCCATGCACTCTAGTATGGATTCCATGGCCCACAGAATCACAGGTCCTCCTCCCTACTTGATAATATACCTGATGTCTCAGTTCAGACAAGTACACTGTTCCTATCAAAGTGCTTGTAGTTATTAACAAACCATATAATGCTTTTGTTGAAGGAGGACATAAGAGGGTTTCTAATGGAATAGCTTGTAAACAATCTGCTGACATGTAGATAGATGGTGTGTAATGGTTTTTATTTGGTGAGGTTCGCTAAGAAGCAGCTTATGGGATTTTTGGCACTTTTCCTTACAATGCTGCTTACAGCGCATGGTTGTCAACACGCATCTGATTTAGGGCTGTTTTTCTGCATGCCTGTCTTTAGAAATGCATAGTAAATGTGTGGATTCATGGTGTTCTAAAAAGGTTTAGAAATAATACATGGAAAAGTGATTCAATAAGATGTCAAAGCAACTGGTTGTCAGTCCAAAGGAAAAACCTGTGGAACCTGCTGTGGTCGGTTAGCTCTGTAATCCAGGTATCTCTTCCAAATTGAAAGACTTTCTCATCAGGGCCTGTTTGTGTCTGTGTGTGCTCTGTCCCCCAGGCTGCTATACGTAAGGAGTTGAATGAGTTTAAGAGCCGGGAGATGGAGGTTCATGAAGACAGCAAACAGTTTACAAGGTACCCCCTGCAGTCAATTGGCTCCAAAGCATAACCTGACTCTGAAGCTTCATCGGTTGTTAAGCTCAGGAAATCTTCAAGTCCAGCTGTTTATTAGCTCTCGCTGATCAATACATGTTATTGTGTTCCCCTAAAGCGTCTCCAGCTATCCTTATTAAAGTCATGGTGGGTCAGCTTCAGTTCATTACCCACCAGCACTGATTGTGTCTGGAGTTCAGCTTTTTTTCTTAAATGTTTAGACCTGTGCAGTATTGGCTTTTCGTTTAGATCTAAACCTCGACTACATCGCCCATAATAGAGCTCTAATTTAATTTAGAAATTCAATTTCTACAAAAAGTAGCAAAAATAACCTACAGCATCAAACAAACAGTGGACTTTAACCTTTATTCAGTGATTTACTTTCTGTCAGATTATCAGAGTACGGTAATAAAAGTCTTGCAAAGTCAAAGTTTAATAATAACTAGTAATTACCGGTATAAGGTTTTCATACCTTTTTTTTATTTTAAACAAAAACTCCACCTGATACATAAAATATATCAATGGAACAAACCTCCAAATATGACTCTTGTTCTATATTACATCTTTAATTTAATACATTTATGTTTAACTGGAGTATGACCTACAGTAAATAGATTTTGTTCCTGTGAAACTAATTGAAAATCTGTTAAAGTTAGCAGAAATATACACTGTAGGCTGTTTGTTAATGAGATGACTAGTAAAATGCTGGAGAGAGTCTACCATCTGTAATGCTTAAGGGAAAATTTAAAAAGATATATTCACGAAATTAAGACAATGAAAAGCAACTAAAAAATGTAGAATAATCAGTCCAGAATTTTTTAATTAGTCTTAGTTGTCCAAATGCCAATAAACACTGCTAAATCTAAACCCATGTTTAGGAATCTGACAAACATATCAAATAATTCATATTTGGACAAGTATGACATTGGACTATTAGCAGGAACACTATGTTTATTCATCAAGAAAGAATCTGAATTGTTTCAGGTAGCATTTGTCTGTCTGCTTGTTTTTAGCTGTGATAAATGTCTGCTTTGTGTTTTCAGGTTCCATCGACCCTAGGTGCTCCTACGGCTCTCGCACTTCTCCTTTGTCTACATCTTCACCTTATTTCTCTTCAAACCTGTTAACCTCTTTGAACCGGACACCTTGGCCTGTCCTCGCAGGGAGGGCCCAGTTTTCATTTACAGAATAGACCGAGATGGATGAGTCAGGGTGATCTCTGTCAAAGGATAGTGGGATGTTTATAAAAACAGTGCCACAATCGCTCAACTTGACTTCTCCTGAATACAAAAAAATCCAAGATGTCATCTATGAAGAGGATCTGTTGCTCATGTCGATACATATTTATGTCTTTAATGACAGCTGAAGAAGTGTCTTAAGGCCAAGGCCATGTTAAGGCACTTAGGAAATATTTGCACATATCTATGATGAGAACAGTGCTGTGTATAGCTCACTCAGTAGGACCTCTTATTTATTGTAGATTATAAAACCTTTGGTATTTTTATTGTTTTTGTTTTATCTTTTTTCTCTTGTTCATTTCAGGCCTTGTAATGAGAGGTCAGAGTTTGGAAAGATGAGCAACGTTGCCTTTGTCACTGTGGCTCAGATACAGAATGGTGTGCTTGTAAATGCCCATATATGGGCGTCCTCCTGGAAAAGGAAATGGGGATGGTTGGGGGTTTCAGGATGATGTCAGTGCCTGTGGAACAGATTGCTCAGAAGGGTGTGCAGTTTGTTCTGCTGTGATGTGCCTCACAGTGAAATTCCTTTTTTTTTTTTTTTTTTACATGCTCCAAACTTTGCCACTAGGGGGCATAATATCACAGTGGTTTTAGATGGGGATCTAAAGAGTGTGAGGAAGACAGGGATTGTTCAGTTGCTGCATATAAAACTGCTGAAGCTTTTGAAGAAGTGAAAACCAGAAGCTTGAATAGTAAAGTGTAAATTATATTAGCCTTCTCGAAACCTGCCTCCTCAGCACGTCGTCAGTGTTCATTTTACATGATGTGTCTTATGCCGAGCTGCTGGGTGCAAACTAATGATCACAACACGAGTGGCTTGCTGTTTGGAGGAGCTACAGCTTCTTTCAATTGCAGTTTTACATTTAAATCCTCTCGCTGGGGCGTCTCATTTAGAGGAATCTTTGCCAAATAAGAAGTAGGAGTTTAAATCTAAGTTGTCTTTCAATTGAAAAATGTAAGATTTTTTTCTATAAAGTAGGTTTTGAATCTGGCCAATAATGGAGCCACTAAAAGCTATGTTTACCAGAGTTTCTAGTCTTTCAAGTCAGGGCAAAATGTTTTATTTTACCATCTTTCAGGTTTGGCTGATTACATTTTTCATTAATATCAACAGTGAAACATTAAGCATTGTTTATTTGTTTTCTTATTTTACATGTTCCTTCGTTTTTGATTTGCCTACAGCATCTTGTTTTCAGCATTATAGTCATGAATGTTTTGGCTCTAGTGTTTCAGGATTAGAACCCATGCATAAATTCACTCTATTCTGGGGGGAAAAATGACCATTTCACAGCTTTTTGACATTTGGAATACTTGAAAACAAGGTTTTAAACTGGATCTGGGGCGCTTCAACTCTGCACGATTCAGGTGGGTTTAGATGCCAGACAAAGCTGTGATAAATAGCTATTATTATTATTATTATTATATATTTGTTGTTAAAGTTCATAATATGGGCTTTAAAGAATCCAACCTAAAATTTAAGAAAGAAATCAGAGATTTTAAAAGAAAATAACCAATTTGTTAAAAAATCCTCGCCATGTCGCAGAATCGGAATCCGTAATGCCTAAGTGGTTTTTACGTGGTATCCAAAATGTTATAAAAACGGCTCAACATGGAAGGTCATCAAACACACAAAAAATCTGTTTACCAAAGCTCCTTTCTTTCTTTACCAATCAGGGAGCTATTTGTGCAATTTGTTGGGAATGGTTGGTTAATTTGATCAAAAATGTACTCCTTTGTGGAAAAAATTAGCAGTGAAATTAGTCTAATTGATAATCATTTATTTGCTATTAAATGGCTTGAATGCTTTTCTATTTTTGATAGGCATGTGTTTGTAACCACAGCCTTTAAAAGAGTCAAATGTGGAGATTTTTTTTTTTTCCGTCATTGTTTTTGTTTTTATTGAAGCTTGGGGCTCCACAACAACCATCCTGATTTTAAAATGAAATGAAGTAAAAACGGACATTGTGCCTCAGTTTGCAGACGCTGTAAAACAAAACCGTGTACAGAAATGGAGCAGTGTTCATTCATGTCTGTGTTGTTATTTGTTTTGCACTGAGGGTGTATCAAGCATGTGCTTACAATGAAATCCATTTTATTGCCAATATTACACATTACTGTAAATATTTTCTTGTCTCATTTCATCCTCGTTGTATTGACATATAAAACAATAACTGCATATATTATATGCGCGAAAAACCCACAGATCTAATCATTTTCCTCAAATGTTGGACAGATAATATATCCTCCAGAAAACATTTTTTTTTAATAAAGCCAAAATGATTTTAAGCTTTAAATAATCTAAGAACATTTAAGTATCACTGAGCTTTTTTTTTGTTGTTGTTAACCATTATACAAACACTGAAATAGGATCATTCTTAGTGAGAAATATTTATGAAGATCTAGAGCTAGAGGATACATTTAAAAAAAAAAGAAAAAATATCTGAATGAGTTATTTAAATTTCTTCAGTTTCCAAAGATTATGTATTTTAGTGTTTGGAAATAGATTGTCTTAATGGACGATGTTGGAATAAAAAATAAAAAAAAATTGCAAAACTTAAATGATTTTTGCCTAATCATGTAGTTGAACACAATATTAGAGGCTTTCAAAAACTTAAAGCTCATCCTACCTACAAACAAATATAAACAGAGTAAATCTGGAGTTGTACATGCAAAAAATGAAAAAAGTCTTAGATATTTTCATAGACTTAAACAGGTGAAAGCAGCAGTTTGTAATAAATGAGAACATCTGCCAACCTTCATAGGTTTATAAAAATGTTTACAATGTAAAAAATAAATCTTGTTATTTTGCTTGTTGCCTCTTTTATCACTTTTTAGAAGAACATTCCAGAATGCTCTTATGATCAGACAGAAACCTTTTTGATTTGATGTTCATTCAAACCATCAACTTGCATATTACTGTAATAGTCCATATAGTTTAACCCTCTCCAGCTTTGAAACCAATCAAACTGAGTTATTCTTCTAAAAAAGCAGGTTGACATTTCAGATAATTTGACATAGTTTGTTAGTAAATATTGGCTGTAATAATCTCATCATATATCCAGATACAGCTACTGTTACATCCTTATTGTGTATAGTGTTTTGTATATAAAGAGTTATGAAAACATACTGGGGTTTCCATGTCTACTTATTTTGCCTTTTCCTGCCTTCTTTTAAATGAAAACATTCTGGAACAAAACTATATAGCATATGGGTTTAAACAAAGTCTTACTGTGATTTAAGCCTATGTGAAACACATAACCTCTTCTGTGACAGCACCATCATCTTTATCCCCTTTATGGGTCTGAGTAGCAGTAGGAGGAAGATGTGAGTGCTGTGATTCCCATCTTAATGGAAGAGCATATTTTCTGCTGCTGGGGGCCCTCCCACACACTTCCGATCCAACCGATTGAACATCCTTTTGAAGGAATATTGTATGAAACGGAATTTCAAATACATTGAAAATGAAATAAAATCAAAGCCTTATCTTTGGAAATGATTGACACAGTTTAGAAACTGTACTTGGTCATGGCTCAGTCTGAATGAATTGCTGCATCAATGTGATGCGGTACGATGAAGGTAATCTAGCATCTGCTGAGATGTTAACCCTGTAATGCCAAATGTATCATATTTGATACATACGGTTTCTGAAATGTTTTGCGTCTGACACCTTTTGCATAATTTAATGGTAAAAACTTTGCTCAAAACCCTATTGTACACAATCAGATATACCTGATAACAGCCAGTAGAAGACTACACATTTCCATCTTGACTTATCGCATAATAATAAATTATTAAAATCAAAAATGTATTTCTTTTTTTTCTTTTTACAAATTTTGTTAAAAGGCCAAATAAGGACTTCAAACCAAAAAAAAAATAATTTTCTGTTTTGTTTTATTCTCGGCCCTTCCCAGTCAAACACCAGCCGAATGGCAGCCTATTCCCCTGCGAATCCCAGCTAAATCCCCTCCCAACTTCCAGCCACTGGCCTTTTGGGCGTGCATTTTTTTTTTAAAACCTGACTCGACCCTTTCACTGAGTTACAGGGTCTTACCATGAAATAATGCCTCTCTTTAGATCATAATGTCCACAAATCATGACAGAAAAATATTTTTGTACAAAGGTTGATGTTTAAAAGGGAATTGTAGAGGACCAGCCAAGGCCCATCAAGGAAAGTGGGGAAATTTTAAATGGCTGCAACTGTAAATGGTGGAATTTACTTTGGTAAAACACAGTGGACCGACACCAGGAGAGCTACTGGATCCTGTATCTATACCCTCTAAATAAGCTTTCCTCGACAACTTTTCCTTCCACTCAACTTTCCATACACTTCCTTTAATGCAGTGCTCTGTAAAGGAGTAGCTTCATCAGTCAGCTTTTGAGGTTAACCCTCCTTATGAAGCGTTCATAATAGTTCATGCCAAACATTTCTCTACCACAATTCCTCTTCTTATTGATAGTATGTAATGTAAAATTGGGAAAAAAGATAAACTTTTTGAATGCCAGCACTGAAACAAATTAGGTCTTGGAGAATGTTCCAATCTACTGAGAGGCACCTGTAGTTCATAATTACAAATATCTGTTCGGACAGGCTTTAAAGGTTTTAATAGAATGTGCATTTAAGGTGCTGAGGAACTGGAGAAAAATGGAGACGGGAAAGCGAAGAGGGGACGAGATATAAGCAAAGATGTAAACGACTAAATACAGGCAGACCATTTGAAAAGAGGGCTTTTTAGGAACAATCTCCCTACAGATTCAGCATTTCTGCATGTTAGAAAACATGTTATCAGGAACTTGGTTATGCAGAAACAAATTAGAATGGCCCTTCTCTCGGTTGTGAAATCCTCCCACAGACACACACAATGTAAGCTCTAATTAAGTTTCCCTCCCTTCATAGAAAGGCGAGTGTCTCCCCTGCACACTGCCTGTAGGTCTTGGTTATAATGTGAGCCTGCTAGACTAGAGAGGAGCAGACAGATGCCATCACTCTTTAGCTCCCCACGGTTACAAGAAATACAATTGTCGTACTGCTCATAATATTCCTGCGTTTCATGTATTATTTTCACTCTGTCAAAAAATATGGTGTAAGCTAATTAAAACTAAATGCTGAAAGATGGGAGGTACCCTTTTCGTTTTTTATTCACCCAGTTATTATATTAGTCTGTTATTGTCTGCCTGCTGTTATTACAAATATTTTTTCTTCCTTATTTGGAATTAGCCTAGATCGCTCCAAAAATAGGCCTAGGCTGCTGAGATCGTGAGGTGTTGTGTTTAATAATGCAAGTCCTGAATCTTTGGACCATTTGCCTGAGCTGCTAAGGGAGAGAAAAGTATGAGCTGTCAAAGAAAAAAAAGCCTCCAAACAGGAATGAATGCAGACAGGCAAAGAAATGTTGTAATTAGTCACGTATGAGAGAAAACGTAAGATGCAACAAAGGTAGTTTTGAATCCAAATAAACTGTTTAAGTGCCGGATGCTCAGGAATCTAATGAATTCCCTCAAACGAAGGCGATGACGAGCTTCCATGCATCATTAAATAAGTCACAGGGTGATGTTCGAGGGGTATTCACATGTCATGCTTTTATTTTCCAAAAACAGCAGAACCAACACAGCTGGAATCCCTAAAATAGCGCTGAATGCATCTGTAATGGATGGAACAACACAAGATGATTGCAAACGCTGTGAGAAGTCCTCTGTGATGGGAATATGACGTCAATATACTGTAACAATGGGCATTTTAGACAGTTTTTGTGTGTGTTCAGGACGGTTGCACCCATTTTGGCAATAAAATTACGGCTGACAGAAATCAAACACTGCTCATAGTTTTCACAGGAATGAAATGCCTCTTATACAAGAGCATGTTAAGAGACAATATGGACATAAATACTGGAGAATTTGATTGTTGTTGATTGTAGTTAACTTGTATCAACCATTCATGACGAGTATATTCTATTTCCCCAAGTCTATGTTATTAATACATTAAGAAGAAACCAAGGACTAAGCTGGTAAAATAGATTTTTTTTAAGTTCTTAAAAAAATCTATTGTAAAACTAGAATCACTGATCAGTATCAGTGCAAGGAAGACATTACAAAGTTAAAAACACAAATTTTCACAAATAGGATGGATGATTTTCAGTAAATAAGTTAAATGCAGCATATTCTGGAGATTCAAGGGTCTGTTCTTGTTCCATTAACCAGCATCTTAATTTATTAAAGTGGACACAGGTGAGAGATGGGTCCATCTGCTAGCCTCTAAAAATGGGTGTTCTTTAGCAAAGAGCTGTTAAGAGCTGTAATATGTATATGGAAATAATATATTAAATTACTTATTTAATATTAGGATATTACTATCTATTAAAACTCCTAGAAACGGAAAGCATTAAAGTTTCCTTTATGTCACAAATTTGACACATCACTTTAAGTTCAATGCTGGGGAATAATCCTATTTACAGTTGCTAGTAGCAACCGAGCTTTGGCTGAGACCAACAGTTGGTTGTTGCAGAATTAGGCTTGCATCTCTCCTCAGCACAGCACTCCAGCAAATGGATGGAGGGGAAAAAGGCATTCAAACATCTGTCATATCTGCCACATATGGCCTTTTAATGAGGAGACATCTGCTGAAACAAAATAGATGAATCGGTTTACAGGGCGCCCCCTAAGTGCACTGCAAACGTCCGTCCCATTTCCTACAGACAACCATGTTTTATGAAGGAGCATTAATGCTTACTGCAAATCTAATTTCACATTCAGGCACATTTCTTAAACAAGCAGTTTTAGAAATAAGATTAAATGAGATTGTATATGTGGTTTCCTTCTTAACAAGAAAAAAAAATAACATTTGTATGTTTTAAGTCAAATAGAGCAAGACTCGCAGTCATCTATCATAGTCTTTCCAAAAAGTTAAATAAAAATCCACTGGACTTTGTTTCCACGTTTAAAGACGTTTCTCTTCCCATCCAGGAAGCTTTTTCAAATTAAAAATGTCAGAAATAGGGTTGAGTTCGAGTATTTGTGCTTATTATATTTTGTCGCCGGGAGTATGTTGGATACTAATTAATAATTTATTATTTTAACATTTACCTGCTTTGAAATGTTGTGTTTTGAAAAAAAAAAAGCAGTGACGATGAGGAACCTAAGATTGGAGGCTTTGTTTCACCCGATCACAAGCGCAGGGGAACAACCGGAAGAAAGCTGTCTTGTCGTGATTGTGGGCGAAATTGGTTTAAGTTACTAACTTTTTGATTATTCGTGGGATATCCTGCATCTCGTGTAAGTATGTTTCACAATTTAAAACTTATTTTACATCAAAACCAGTATTTACGATGTAGATTAACTGAGATTAAAGGCTGTGTCGGCTAAAAACGACTAGCTTTGCCCACGTTAGCACGCACACAAAACGCACCTGAGAATAATACTGCGGGGTTTCTTTTGTTCAAAAAATAAAGTTGCTTTAATAAAGAGATGGGTTTGTTTTTATACGTGTAAAAAGACACTGGGTTACCAGTAGCCTTCTTTGTGGGATTACCAACAAACGCGCACTTATCTAAATATGGTAGGAAGGTGGTCGATCAGTGTCCAGGTTAGAAACTTTATTGTTTAGGTTTCCCTCCAACACTGATATCCCTAGAGTGGTAAAATTATAGGGTATTTAAAATATGATCGTAATAAAAATCTGTAACATATTTCAAATGTTCTTTCATTGTTGTTTTCTTTAATTGTTTTCACAATAACGAACAAATATTCACGAATTCATTGACCAAAAAGGTTTGTTTTTTCCAAGTAGTGTTGTAAACGAAAGAGGAGTGTTGTGATGATGAGGTGCTAGATGTATACAGGTAGATTTAAAGCTGACAATAAATAGAAATTATAAAAACAAAACAAAAGCTTTATATTTTTTCTTTTGTACTACTATATGCCTTATATTCAAATTTAATAATCACTGAAATAGTATTTAGATTTCAGTAACTGAATTGCAAACCCCCCTGAAGTTCTAGATTATTGAACCACTGTGTAGCATCTTGCATAAAAGTTGGTATTTGCTTGTTACATCTTCATTAAACACCTTTTAGAGATTATTTTAGCAGCTGACTTCTTCCACGCCTCACATTTACTCAGTTACTCACATTTCCTCTAATCCATATGTATTATACTGATATTAGTAAAGTTGGACACCACTTTCTTTTTAGCTTTTTTGTTACTATGCTAAAAAGTAAAATGCTTAGTCTTATGTATTAAATTTAAAGACTGCAGCAGCTCTTACATTAGAAGGTAAATGTAGTAGAGGTGTGTTCTATTAAATTGGGCTTTCATGTTTCATTCATAGTTTTTATTTAGGCATACTTTGAAGAACAGGCCAAGAATTTGGGTTATTAGGTGCAACAATTTCTTGAGTTTCTTTTAAGTGTTTTTATTTTATTTTTCTTATACCTATTTTCATTTAGACTCTGTTGGCCTAATCTCGGTGAAAATGACGGACCGGTACAACATCCACAGTCAGCTGGAACATCTTCAGTCCAAGTACATCGGAACAGGACATGCCGACACCAGCAAGTGGGAATGGTTGGTCAACCAGCACCGTGACTCTTACTGCTCCTACATGGGACACTTTGACCTGCTCAATTACTTCTCTGTTGCTGAGAACGAGAGCAAAGCACGCGTTCGCTTTAACTTGATGGAGAAGATGCTGCAGCCATGTGGGCCTCCAGCAGACAAACCAGATGATGCTTAAAGTACTATGGCTGTGGTAGATTTTTTTTTCTCCCCTTGGCTCATTTGAGTTCAATAACATGATGTCTGAAAAAAAAATGTATGAACCCTTTAAACAACAGAAAATAATTTACCTGGCAGCAGTTAAATGAGGTGCTTTTCTTTTAACAGCTTATCGAGAAGAGAAGGGCCTGTTTAATGACTGTTAACTAGAAAAGTTAATGGAAAGCAAGTTCATGTGGCTCACAACCATCTGTGAAATTTTTGTTTTGAGTGATTTTGATCTGTTCTTGATGCAAGGTTTTTTGTCATTAATAAAACTTAAATGCTGTTTTCTACATTTTGTTTTGTATTCAATCAATGGCTATTTTTTTTCACCAGGCACACATTTAGTCAATTTGCAATATAGTAACATGTAAAATAAAATGCCAAAGCCATGGCAGACTAACCTTTGACCATTAGATGTACAGTAATCATATTTTCTCTCAAGACGGACCCGTTGATCTTAGTTTGGTTTAAATCTGATTTCCTTTTTAAGGAATGAAATGTTTGCACACCCATTATTGTGAACTTTAACACAACTGTATGAATGCAAGACACGTAAAAAAAAAAAAGCATTGCCATTAAAAAACTGCTTAAAGTATTAGCCACCTGAGTGTATTTAAAAATGACATACTCTGTTATCTGAGGGATGTAGTCTTATGTTAAAGCCAAACTGACTTATAAAATATTAAAATATTACCCTTTTAAAAATGTATTCCTTATATATTCTGGATGAAGGTATTGGATACCTGTAAAAATAACAATGAAAGAAACATTTTTGATCTACAGCATGTTAAACGGCAACACTGAGGCTTTTTCATGGATTTTGGTTAGTGTCAACTAACTGAAACAGATAAATGAATTGTAAATTTTTATCTTGAAGACAATGGACAAATGTTAAGTCTTATAAGCTTTTGAGAAATTGAAAGGTTTTTCATTTGCTACAAGCCATAATAACTGAAACAAATAGAAATACAAATTTGCACTATATCCCTTTGAGTTTTATAAATCACTTGTTGAATTGTCGAATTTATTCACAATTTTCCAGTATTTTAAGTTCCAGAGGTCCATCTATGCCCTCATTAAATAGCTTAAAAATAAAAACCCTATTAGTTGAATCTGAGCTATAGTTCTGCATATATTTGGCCTGGCAGAGCCAAGATATTGCTGCCCACCTACGCAGCCACTCAGGCATGCATCTGTGTTGAGCAACCTGCACACTGCATGCCTGGTGTGATCATTACAACTTTTTACTCTGATGCTTAGTATATTGATTTGTCTGCCTGTCAAAATATCAGACACCCTGTAAAACCAGAAAAAAATATTGGTAACATGTTTAACTACAAATTACCATCCTTTACCTCTTTAAGTCGGCACAGGACACATTTATACACATCACATAAGAGGTTGGAATTATGAGACATTTTACATGCTTCAAGACTTAGAGTTGAGAATCTAAGTCTTTAGGGATAAAGTGGGCAGTGGGATGGTGAGATATGACAAGAAAAATAGCAGAAGGTCTGACTTGCTGATTCAAAGCTTTCAGCCACACAAATGCAGCCTTGCAGGATGAGTCATAGCCAGACCGGGACATGGGTCAGCAGGCCAAAAGGAAAATTCTTATGCTTTTCATCTTGTCGGCGGTGTGTGTTTGGTTGGTGTCTGTCTGTGCTGCTTTCTTGGTGGGGTAAGTCTCTGCCATCTGTCCTTGCTGTGAGGCCGTGACAGTCAGGGAGATGCTGGTGCCAAATCAGACATGAAACCAGCCGGTGTGCCGTGGAGCAAACAAAAACAGGCATGGAGGTCCAGGAAGCAGCTCTCAGACACAGAACCAAAATTAAATATATTTTCTTACAGAGCTAGAAAGAGGATTGTTGATGTATAAAGTAGAGATAAAGGAGGAAACAAGTGCTTACGAGAGTAGACAGCAGCTAAAGTGATTGATAAGGGAAGAATATGTGATGTACAATTGACTCAAAACATGCCACTGCTCACAAATGAAGCCGTACCCAAATAAAGTTTTTACTGTTCTAATGTAGGGAAGAAACTATAATGACACGATGGATCATAGAGTCTAAGAACATGAATAAAAAGGCATGTAAGCAGGTTAATGGGTGAATGAGGTAAGGGGGAGCTATTAAAAAGCCGAGAATGATGTGCTAATGAGGTAGAGATGGGAGGTGAGAATAAGATATATGAGATATATGAAGTAGGAACATGGATTAGTGGAATAGTAGGGATGCAGGTGGTAGGGATTATGGCTGGGATTAAGTGGGTAGGGATGAGGAATGAAGGAGATAAGGGTGAAGAATCAAAGTTGGATATCGTCTGAAGATTTTATTATTACGCTGGATCTTTTAGAAAGAGACTCAGTGGCAACACAACAAAAACTACTATTGACCCATTGCTAACAGGAGAGTCATCTTCCAGTCCCTAAAGGAAAGAGTTAAGATTGAAGAGACAAGAGCAAGAGAAATAATCAGAGAAAACTTAATAGGATTTTCTCAGTGAAAACAATGAATATTGAGCCCAGGAATATGTAATATAGGCTTTTAATAGAGAGGGAATAAACCTTAAGTAACTATCCTAAGTGGATAGCTAATGGACAAAAAGCAAGGATCAACAATAAGTTTCCTGTAACTTCCAAACCTCCAGTATCTTGAAAATGTTTCTACCTTAAGCAATAATTAAATGGAATAGAATTGGCAGGCTTAAGGTCCAAACAAACTCCCTGCTTCTTCATTTCATAAAGTGGCCTAAGCAATTTTTTTTCATTTATATTTTCTTGTGTCACGCTGCAAGTTGAAATGAACAGAAATATAGAGAAAAAAAATAAAGATTCACAAACAAATAGGATCCTTAATTTGAGGAATTGTTCCTTCCAGTTTTAATAAGTTTTGTACATTTTAGGTCTAAATTTTTTGTGTGTGAATCTCTGAACTGTGCACTAAGAAAGAGACAATTAAACCTCTCTGTATGTATGTATATATATATATATATATATATATATATATATATATATATATATATATATATATATATATATATATATATACAAAACAGTAGTTGCTGAAGTTCGAAACATTCTCATTTATTGTAATGTTGATAACAGGTTGACAATAGTTTTTTTTCCTCACAATTATAAACTCTCATTTTTTTTGCTCCATATGAACACTTTTTTTTAAACCTTTATATATTTTCTTATGATGCTGTTACTCTTTAGTGTTGTATTTGGGTTTGGGGTTTCAGTTCAGTGTGCTGTAGGAAAATATTGCATGTTTTTCAACTTAGGTTTTTTTTGTTTATCTAGGACATGAAAACTTTGAAATGCATTTATAATCACCACCTAAGCCAACATTCAGACTCAATCTCTTTTGCCTTACACTCGACTGACTGGGATTTTTGCCTATTTTTCTTAGCTAAATAGCACATGTTCAGTCTAATTTAGTCAACAGATTTTTCTATGTGATGATTTTTTATTACAAATTCTCTTCCAACTGAGGCATCTTCTTCATCATGTTTGCTGTATCCCTAAATGTCGTTTGGCCAATGGAGGATTTCAATCATAATTTTGCCAAAATTATTTTCTGTTGCTTTCTTAGCAATCCATTTAAAAAGGGATTAGCATTAGTTGTTTAAAGCTTTGTTGCTGTGCAAATTAAAGAAACCATGTTATCAATAAATTGCAGCTCCATTCCACTTAAATTAAAGGCTATTTCATGGAGGAGGAAATTGGACTCTGCTATTTCTCAAAGTCTAAAGCTCTTAATCAACTTAATTATGGCACTCTAACAAAAATGTGTTTAATCACTAAGTCTAATTATTGTGTAACTACACACATCTAATATTTAAAAATATATATGTATTAGTGTTTATATATATATAGTGTTTGAGCATATGGGAGGAAGCTGGAGGTGTATGTGGTGTGCTTGTTACACTATTCTTGTGGCAAACGCAATTGCTTGTGACAAAATAAAAACAAGACATTTTAAAGCCTTTATCCTAACAAACCATTTCTTTAAAAAGTCAGTTTGGTGATGTGCATATCAGTTATCCTACCTAAGCTGTGAATTATTTGCAGCTCCTCTTCCAGAGCTTCTATGGATATTTAGGCTGTTTCTCTGATTAATGCTTTCCTTCCCATGCAAGTTAAAGGTTATATCTGCTGTATTACTTAAGTCTTCATGATGCTTTTTATCCACTGATGCTCCTTAACAAACCTTTGGGGCCTTCAGTGAACTGCTGTATCTTCTGACATGACAATATAAGCCGATTTTGCTTACTAATTAGGTGACCTCTGAAGGCAGTTGGTTGTACAGGCTTTTAGTTTGGGGGGTCAGAATAAATGGGGCCCATTGCAAAGGGAGAAGAACATGAGAACGAGTTTGAAAAATAAGGTAATTAAATGTTGCTCCTTTATAGCTATGTGCTCTTATTAAAATATGCTGGCAAAAATCCTCTAGGTAGGAGGGCAAAATCTGAAGTGTGTAGATAGAATGTTATTCCTGCAAACAGGAAGTACCCAGAAGATTACATAAGGCTTTATTAGTTTCCATTCGTTTGCACCGTGGTGCATAGTAAAATGGTGTAAGCTGGACGGGGAGTCATTAAAAGTAATGCTGACATGCATTGTGCATTTTTCTCTTTTTTTTCAGGACTCACTAAAACTAGTTTCTTATCCTCTGCAACAGAGTTGATTTTAGTCACACTGCCCACTGTGAAAGCCTTTATCTTCTAATAGTCTGCTGCAAATGTTTTTTTTCTTCTTTTTTTCCCCCCAGCGTTTTATTGTCATTACACTGTCAAAAGTACAAGGCAACAACATTATTTCTCTGCATTTAACCCATCCCCTTGGGGAGCAGTGGGCTGCCATTTGCGGTCCCCGGAGAGCAGTGTGCACCACTCATGCATTTGAAATTCATTCCACATAATTAGATTTTAGGTAAATTATGAGCATGCATCATTTTGGGAGATAAAGTTTTGGGAGGAGATCGCCTAGTGGTTAGTGCATAGACCTTGGAATCATGATGTTCTGAGTTCGAGTCCTACAGATTGCCACCCAGGCTCCTTGAGCCAGACCCTAACCCCAGAATGCTCCTCTGGCGCCGCACATTGGCTGGTAGCCCCTGGCCTAGTGGTTAGAGCAGTGCGCTTGTGCTCTGAGAAGGTTGCAAGTACCCGTAGTATCCCTACAGCCTCCAATCTGGGTCTCTGATCAAGACCCTTAACCCCTCACTTCTCCCCGGGTGCCGCACAGTGGTAGCCCACTGCTCCCCAAGGGGATGGATTAAATACA